TTCTCAAGTTCAGTGAGTATCTTCATGCCCTTATGCAGAAGAGTTATGTAGTGCCCTGTAGCACAGTGTCCCCTGGTCACCAGGGTCAGGTATTCCAGCAGTGTCCTCTGTGTGGGCTATATATGCCCTCCTGTTGTGGCTGAGCCATGTTTGCCTTCAGCCCAGTTGAGGTTTACCTGCTTTGCCTACTGTGGAGACACTGGACAGTATTTAGTCCCTGAGTTGTTGGGGAGCCTGTGTGAGATTGTGATTGGCTGAGAGGTGGGCAGGGTCAGTAGTCAGGCCTGCCGTCTGCAATTAGCCTCTCTGTTGGTACATCGAAAGAAAGGGTTTTCTCCCTACAGAGCCCATAGAGGCTTTTGTTGAGGGCCGGAACTGGCAGTCAGAGTAGATGTCTACAGTCTGCCTTTCGCTGAAGCTGCAGGCATGCCATATGGCAGAGCATTCTTTCTGTACAGTCTGCTGAAAGACTTGGCTCCTGGAACTGTGGGCAAGCTAGTTTATAGGATTAGCTGCCTCTTCCTCAAGGGAGGAGTTTCTTTGGAATGGCATCATTCCCTGCCAGAGCTGCCTGCAGGATGTGGAGGAGCAGGAGCCTCTTTGAAGGGATGCCTACCAAGGTGGGTGGGTTGGAACGGGAAGGTGGCAGGGGAATGTCGGGGCAGGGCATGTACTGTTAGCAAGTATTAGTGCTATTTCCTACGGTGTCCAGCTATCTAGGCTAGGGGAGGGGAAGAGAAATGGCTCCCACCATCACTTTTCTTTTAGGTAAATCTCCTGAAGATCCCTGCTCCTCCAGCATATGTTCTGAGACTAAGAAATAAATCTCCTTCACATATACCCGAGACGCTTTTCAAACTGCTGCTTCCATGCCCTCTTTAAGGGCAAGGACTCAGTTTCCTATTGCCTCCTACCTCTTTTGTTAAGCCCACTGATTTTTAAAGTCCCCAGAGGTAAGCCCCACTGTTTAAGAGTTTCAGAAGTTAAGCCGCATTAGTTTCCATAGCCAGATGTTAAGGGGATTTGTCTTCTGAGGGCCCCAGGGCCTGAGGTGCTTGGAGTGTCTGAGGTGGGGTCTGATACTCTAGATTCTCCATGCTTATGGTATCTGTCCCATTTGTGGTTTGTCTCACCAGGGGTTTGGTTCCCAATGAGTCTCTACCTCTCCTACCTTTTCTAATATAGCCTCATCTCTGCCATTAACTGTGAAGGTGTGTTCTGCCAGTCTTTAGGTCATTTTTACGGTTAGTTGTACAGATGTGACTATTTTCTTGGTGTGTTTGTGGGACAGGGTAAGCTGAAGATCTTCTTACTCTACCATCTTAGTCCCTCTCTGGGTCCTGTTTAATTAATTCATTCTGATAATGTATCTTTGAGTTAGTGTGTTTAGAACATTTACATTTAGTGTAATTATTAATATGCTTGGATTTAGGTCCAACATCTTGTAATTTGTTCCTTCAGTATTTTGATCCTTTATTTCCTCCTTTTCGTTCTTTTGTGTTATTGAACACTTTATTTTAATTCATCTATTGTGGTTTTGGCTATTATCTCTGTACAGGTTCTTTAGGAGTTTGTCTAGGAATTATGTATTTATGTATGTGTGTGTGTATATATGTGTGTATGTACACATATATATACACTTACATAAAATTGTTTTACTTCCATTTGACGTATAAAAGTTTCAGGTGACAAGTTAAAACCTTATCACTGTATAGGTACGTTTATCCTTCTACTTTTATGTCATGGTTATATATTATGTATATGTAAACTGAAAATTCTGTCAGACAGCAGTTATAGTTATTTTCAAACATCAGACATTTTAAAGCATTCAAGAATAGTTTATGATATTTGCCTCTTTGTGTTACTCTTCTTTTATTCCTAATGCTCTAAGTTTCCTTCTGATACCATTTTGCTTCTCTCTGAAGAAATTCCTTTAGAGCAAATCTGTTAGAAATGAATTCTTTTTCTTCTTCTGGGAGTGATTTTTATTTCACCTTCATATATAAAGGGTATTTTTGCTGGATATAGAATTCTGGGATGACATTTCTGTTCTTTCTGCATTTTAACTGTTCTACTTTCAATTTCATTCTAGGGTGACAGTTCTGTTCTTTCTGCATTTTAACTGTTCCACTTTCAATTTCAATCAGTTTGGCTTCTAGCTGTCCTTCAAATTGTTTGTTCTTCATAAGTGTTGTTTGTCTCTGTTTTTAAGAATTTTTCTTTGTGTTTAGTTTTCAGAAATTTGGTAATGTTGTGTGTGAGTTAGACCTTGGGTTTATCCTGTTTGAGGACTGGGAATGATGAAGACAGAAGATTTCCGAGGAAGAGACCGTGTTGCATAATTTAAATTCATAAATAACTGTGCCAGTTAAATACATTTCCATAGTACTTGATCGAGAAGTTAGAATGTCGTTGGTGGGAAATACAAACTATAGTAGTATTTTAATTATTGCAATTATTATGGCTTTTCAGTGGGGGACTTTTTCATCCTGTCCATAACATAAACATACTAGTATATTAAAGAATGTTACATATTCCTAGAGCATAGAGAGACAGCTCTATAAAATCCACTGAGAGATGTTAAAAAAATCCTTTAGGAATGGTTCTAGTCCTCACTTCATCTTTTAAATTTTTCCAGATTATTTACAAATAAAGCATGCACTGGCCATATCCCCTGCTGTCCAAAAAATTTTCCCATCAGTGTTCCTAATATTGTGGCCATTTTTTTTTCTACTGGAATGAAATGTTTCCTGGAGTTTCTAGTGTCCATTGGAGGTTTCATCTGGTGCTATCAAATCACCATTCTGATTGTGGCAGCTCTTATCCTCATGATTTTACAACTTGATCATCCCATGTTTCTTTTTGGAATTTATCAGGCCAGATTTGTGTGTCTGTGATGGGATCTTTGAACTTCTCCATAGATTTATGATTTTACTGTTATATATGAGGCCCTCGCATAGGGTGCCTGGGTGGCTGAGTCGTGAAGCGTCTGCCTTCAGCTCAGATCATGATCCCAGGGTCCCGGGATCGAGCCCCATACTGGGTGTCCTGCTCGACGGGTAGCCTTCTTCTCCCTCTTCTATTCCCCCCGCTTGTGTTCCATCTCTTGCTGTCTCTTTCTCTGTCAAATAAATAAATAAAATCTTGTTTAAAAAATCTGTTTATAGCATAAGGCAGTTCCATAATTATACTATGTATACTAATACATAGCATCCTAGCTTGTATGGTATTTTTTTTTATTGTGTGTCTCTGCTACTTTAGGTAGTATCAAGCCATTAAATAGTTATTGTATTGTTTATTAAGGGATATCTGAGGAACTTTTTTTTTTTTTGCAGTATTTCAAAGAAGTGAATTATCCCAAAAATGATCCAGCTCTTAGTATATAAATTTACTTTTTTTTTTCTTTTTTTTTTTTAAGCAAGTTGCTCTATCTTAGACAACCACAGTTAACTCATTGGATCAGTTTGGCTTCCAGTAACAAAATTAGTTTTATCAGAGTAACTGCAGTACCTGTTGTAAATCATCTCTGGTATTGTCACTTTTTGTGCTTACTGTGAAACCTATTAACAAGCAGTAAAGTCAAGATTTATCCCTAGAGGATGAAAGTTTTGCTTGGGGGTTGGACAGTTCTTGATTTACGGAATGGAAACACAATCATGAGATTTCGTTCAGTAGGTTGGTTGTTGGAGTAAGAGTGTCCCTAGTGGATGGTAATATGAAAAGCAGAAAGTAACAATATTTCATAATTATTCAACTAGTAGAAAACGTAGAGTGGTTTCCTTCAGCAATATGGCTTTGCAACATTGCAACATTAGGTTTAAAGACCCTAGTGTAAGTTCGGAAGATGCTTTAACCAATTTAGTTGAAGTCTGTGATTGCTCTGAGGGAAAAAGGATATCTTAGCTACTCAATTAAGGCATAGGATTTAATAAGCAGTGGCTCTTTGGTGTTATGTTGTGAAGTTAATATCCCCAGAACACAGCATAACTTTTTCATATTTTAAAAAGAAAATCAGGATTACCTAAGAAGAATCCATCTAGATTCAGGGCTCTCTTCCAAATTAATCTGTCAATCTCTGGATTCTTTTGCCTGGAGGAATCTAGGAGCTAATTTTTTTTTCCTTCTACCCTCTTTTTTGCGGGTGGGGGATGGAGGAGACCGAATTATGCATAATGCTTACTGAATTATGCACAGTATAGTTTTTTAATGTCTACATCACCTATAATCTAATCATATGTAGGAGCCTTAATGTATTCTATTTGGAAACAGATCTGTGTATTATATTTGTAGATGTTGTGTTACAGAGCATAAAGAAGTATTCTTCAGGTAGTGGTCCCAATAATATTATTTACAGATTGGGACCTGGGATTGTTAGAGGTTCTTAGTACTTGAGTTGTTCTGTCAAGCCAAGATAAACTTTATGTCTTTAAAGACTTCTACAGTTTTCTCTAGACTTTCAATTTTTTTATTATTTTCTTTCATTATTTGTTACAGCCAGTTATCTTTACTGTAAGACAAATGTGTATTTATTTATTTATTTATTTATTTTACTCATTACAAGTCAGTTTGCCCCCACTTCCCCCTCCCAGTTTTGTTTTTTTGTTTTTGTTTCTTTTTGGTGAGGGGGCTTTAAATAACTTCAGAATTTTACTCTGAAGGATCTAGACACCAAAGAGCCACTGCTTATTAAATCCTATGCCTTAATTGAGTAGCTAAGATATCCTTTTTCCCTCAGAGCAATCACAGACTTCAACTAAATTGGTTAAAGCATCTTCCGAACTTACACTAGGGTCTTTAAACCTAATGTTGCAATGTTGCAAAGCCATATTGCTAAAGGAAACCACTCTACATTTTCTACTAGTTGAATAATTATGAAATATTGTTACTTTCTGCTTTTCATATTATCATCCACTGGTGTGTCATACTAGTAGGGTTAATGGGAGATATGGCGGCTCCCATATGAGTAAGAAATCTGTATTATTATCCATCTATAATTTTAGGTAATTCTCCTTGGAAGTTAAGAAAAAGGACAGGGCATTGTTGGAATCCAGTGTCTTCCTTGGAGCAGCATCTTAGACAGATACTGGATAGTTGTCCTTTTGTGTTTTAGCCAGTATGGGACAGCTGTAACTTTAATGACCCCTTTGCTTATGGTTTTTTCAAGTACCTTTTTCTAAATCTCTCAAATCTTAGAAGACAGGTCTTTTGGCTGTTTTATCTGGAGAGCCAGAATTATATTAATTTCTAGCTTGTTTAATTTTTAAAACTCTCTGGCAATGTCATATATTGAGTATTTTCTAAGTTGGCAGCCTTATATTTTAACTTATTCTAATTAAATCCTCTTATTCAAGTTTGAACTAGTATAGTAGAATCTAACAATCTTACATTTTGTAGCAAATTTCTGTCTTCCTAAAGCTGGTGAAATCCTTAATTATAGACCTTGGCTTGGATCCATCACAGAGTTTAATTTAACATCTGTAGACTTGGCTTCTGGCCTAGTAATTTTACTTTAGTAAAATAATTTACTAGTAATTTAACTTTACTTTTTGAGAAAGCTCTGAAGAAAGGATGGCTCATATAGAAGGTAAGATAAAACTTAGTATAAAGAGAAAAATTCAAAGATAGTAAGATTCAGAAGGTTAAAGTCTTTGAGAGAGATTATTTTAAAATTATAATTTTATTTTGAGGTCTCTGAATACTAAGTGAAGAAAGAAGCTAACTATTTAGTGTTTCATATTTTGTCTCCTAACTTTTTGAGCTTCTCTTAAACACATTATTTATTGATTTTAACGTATTGAAAATTTCCCATAATGGCTGGTGTTCTAAGTCATATTTTTTTAACCATTTACTAAGGAAGCGCAAGAGTTAGGATTATAGTAGTTCGTACAAGAAGTAGTTCCTCCAAAAGAAGGACACTTTGACACAGCATGACACATACAGACCACCGTGGATGGTCAGTAAGTATGTGTTGTGAATAGTGTCTCAGGTCACCTGACCAAGCAGAGGCTAGGAAAGATCTCATAGTTAGCAACTCATAAACATGGACCTCAGAGTACGAATAAAGTAATCTTTTTGACAAATAACAAGATAAGGGAGTGCTCTCATGAAGAGCACAATTTCTGTATAATATAAAATATATTCACTTGGTTTGTACTTTTTTCCCCCACCATAAATTCAGGGAGTTCTAAATATGCTCTGATTATGTCTGCAAATCATTTATATATGCTCTAATTTTTTTAGTATTATAATTCACTTTCAAGCTTGGGCCATCCTAACAGAAGCAAAACCACAAGTGTTCTTACGTGTTTTTTTCTGTGCAGTGAACAATCCTGTAACAAATGTAACTTAAGCATATCTATGTTAACATGAAACTAAAATAGTAAGATGATATGCTGGCTTCGTTTTGAATCTTGATTTTAATTTTACAGGTTTTCCTTTAGAAATGAGTTGCACAATCGAGAAGGCACTAGCTGATGCCAAAGCTCTTGTTGAAAGATTGAGAGATCATGACGATGCAGCAGAATCTCTGATTGAGCAAACCACAGCTCTCAATAAGCGAGTAGAAGCGATGAAGCAGGTTTGATTTTTCTTTCTTGTTGATTCCATTTTGAAAAAAGCAGTCAGACATTTATGCATTGCTTGAATCATAAACTTCTGCTTAATTAATATTTTGTTATTTTCTTAATGTTCTATAAAACTTAAAAGTAGCCTGACTTTGGGGCGCCTGGGTGGCTCAGTGGGTTAAAGCCTCTCCCTTTGGCTCAGGTCATGATCCCAGGGTCCTAGGATCGAGCCCCGCATCGGGTTCTCTGCTCAGCGGGGAGCCTGCTTCTCCCTACCCGCCTCGCTGCCTGCCTCTCTGCCTAATTGTGATCTCTCTCTGTCAAATTAATAAATAAAAAATCTTAAAAAAAAATAATTAAAAAATTTAAAAATAAAATAGCCTGACTTGTAGGTTTTAATTTTACTGTAGATTACCCTATAATTTTTTCAGTGTCCAAGTTATATATATATATATGTATGTATATTCTAAAAACTGTATATTTGATTATTTGTTTTTTGGACGAAGTTCTATCTGGTTTATACATTATGCAGTTGTTGAATTTGTACTTCCTACCTTCATTTTCACTTAATGCTACCAATTAAGAAATGAAAAGGACTTCACTTCTTATTCTTATAATCCATAGAATATATGTAAGAACTTTCTTAAATAACTGTATATAAGAACTTTCCAGTGGTCCATGGAGTTTAGCTACCATTTTAAAAGGATCCTTCTGATAAAAATTTTCAACTCAAAGAGAATTATACAATTTCTTGTATTTTGATGGTAATGAGTTGGGGGAAATGTATATTCATATGAATGCCTTTCTTTTGAAACTCATCCATTTTGTAAAAGGAAGCCACCCTGGGATACTGCTTTTAACAAAGCTACTAGAAATAATGGAGCAAGTTTACTTGTTTTGTTGCCCTAAACAGATTACATATCTCCCTAACTGTCCAGCTTGACTCATGTATTCCAAGGAACATATATCTGAATTGAGTTGTAAAAACAAAGGAATATAACAGTTAAAGAACCAGAAATGTTATAATGAATAAAAACATTACTGAGCGGAACATCAAAGTGCCTTGAAAATGAAGTAGAACAATATTAAAGTTAGACTCACATTTATTTATAATTTTAGTTCTTTTGCACATGTTCTTTTACTATTGTTAATGAGATATAATTCACAATACCCATAAAATTAACCCTTTTGAAGGGCATAGTTCATTGGATTTTAGTACGTTCACAGGTTGTGTAACCATACTCACTAATTCTGGTACGGTGTCATTACCCCAAAAGCTCGCCTCCATTAACGGATGTTCCCTAGCTCTCCCTTCCCTCAGCCCCTGGCACTAATCTATCTCTGGATTTGTCTCTTTTGGACATTTCATATAAATGGAATCACAGTATGTGGCTTTTTGTAACTGGTTTAATATAATGTTTTTGAGGTTCATCCATGTTGCAGCATAAGTTTTTTATCCCTCTTTATTGCTGAATAATATTCCATCATAAGGATATAGTGCAGTGTGTCTATCCATCAGTTGATGGACATTTGGATTGTTTCTATTGGGGGGCTATTATAAATAATATTCCTATGACTATTAATGTATAAGTTTCTGTGTAGACATATATTTTCGGTTATCTTGGGTATATACCTGGGGGGTAGAATGCATGGGTAATATAATAGCTCTGTGTTTAACTTTTTGAAGATCTGCCTGACTTTTCCAAACAGCTACACCATTTTATATTCCACTGAACAGTACAATTACTCCACATTCTGACGCTTGTTATTTGACTTTTTGATTAAGATCATCTTAGTAGTTGTGAAGTGGTATCTTACTGTTCTATTGAATTGCATTTCCCTAATGACTAGTAATATTAAACATCTTTTTATGTGTTTATTGGCCATTTGTAGACTTTCTCTAAAGAAATGTCTTGTCAGATCCCTTACCCACTTTTTTCCAGCTCTGTTGAGATAGAATTGACATATAACATTGTGTAAGCTTAAGGTATATAAGATAATTTGATACACATGTATATTGCAAGATGAGTACCACAGTAAAGTTAGTTAACACCTGTGTCACCTCACATAATTACCGTGTGTGATGAAAACATTTAAAATCTACTCTTACTGATTTCTGAGTGTATAATACAGTATTGTTAACTATAGTCACCATGCTGTACATTAGATTCCCCAGAACTTATTCATCTTGTTTGCCTACTTTTAATGTTATTATTATTAAATTAGAATTATTATTTTTATTGTTACTAAGAGTTGTAAGAATTCTTTATATATTTATAAATATATATATTTATATATATAGAGAGAGACCCTTATCAGATATGTATCTGAGATACATACTTTCAAATATTTTCTCTCCACATGTTCTTTTCTGATCTTTTCATTAGTATCAGGAAGAAATTCAAGAACTTAATGAAGTTGCAAGGCATCGGCCACGGTCCACATTAGTTATGGGAATCCAGCAAGAAAACAGACAAATCAGAGAACTGCAACAAGAGAACAAAGGTAAGATACATAATCTTAAAAAACAAAGGAGTTTGACAACTAAAGTTGAGAACCAAGAATGTTATAGTGAATTACGTTGCTAAGGGGCTTATCAGAATGCTTTTGAGAATAAAGGAGTGGGCTTTAAAGTTAGATTCACATTTTTTAAAAAAATAATTTTTCATTTCTTTTGCACGAGTTCTTTTATTACTGTTATTGAGATGTTTCACATACCATAAAATATACCCTTTTGAAGGGCACAGTTCAGTGGATTTTAGTTAAAATTAAAAGAGCTGTAGGGGGTGCCTGGGTGGCTCAGTGGGTTACAAGCCTCTACTTTCAGCTCAGGTCATGATCCCAGGGTCCTGGGATCCAGCCCTACATCGGGCTCTCTGCTCCGTAGGGAACCTGCTTCCCCTTCTCTCTCTGCCTACTTGTGATCTCTGTCTATCAAATAAATAAAATCTTTTTAAAAAAACTAAAAGAGCTGTAATATACAACTGGACTCTTAACTTGGGACCAATTCATATTTTCAAAAATGTGGAAATGGCCAACTAAATTTTCTTTTTGGTATTCTCATTTCTGATCCATATGCCCCAATCATAATGTATTCATCATTATCCTTTACTACATATGAATGTCTACCTTGCGTGGAGTAATCTTAGATTCTTAGCCTCAATATCCAGTTTATGCCATTGTTGTTACCTATGAAGTAACTCCCTTTCCTTCTCTGCAGAGCTACTACTTCAGTCCCTTGCTTTGATGTTCAAAGTCTCTTGCCTGATCTCTCCTAATTGGCCTCTGTGATTTGAATCTCTTTTCCCCCTTCATTCTATCTACAACACAGGCATCAGATTCATTTTTCAAAGATATATCTGGTTGTTATTTTTTTGCTTTAGAACCTTCATTGTAAACTTATTTCCTTATGCAGAGCTTTCAACTTCAACTCAAGGCCTTTTTCTCTGTCTTCTTCCCGTACCTCTCTTCTCCATGAGACCTTTGTTCTTGCTGCCCCGCACTAGTTCCTGAACACAAAATCCACTTTCGTGCCTCCCTGCATAGAATGCCCTTCCCTTTATTTTTCATCTTTAGAAATCCAAGTTCATCTCAATAATATGAAACTCACCAGTTTCTGCTCATATAGACTTTGTTTATATATATTTGGGTAGAGCTCTGCTCTGTACTTTACACACTGTATTATAATTATTTATGTATTTGCTTTCTCCTCTCGACTCTGAGCTCCATGGTCTTTTGTGTATTCCTAATATAGAGCATTATCTGGTACTTAATTATTATTCAGTAAATATTTGTTGAAATGATTCTTTAAAACTAAGCTTTAAATGGTCATTTAAAAAACTAGTAAGGGACTCCCATTTGGTGTGCTTGCTTTATGGCAAGATTTTTACACGTTTTCTTTTCAAAACACCCTCTTTCTAAGTTGCTTTTTTGGTAAATACAGTGGAAAAGAGACTATTGTGTGCATCTTTAACTCAGGTTTGAGTAAAATATATTCTTGTTCTTGTGATTCTGATAGAATTACGTACATCCCTGGAAGAACATCAGTCTGCCTTGGAACTTATAATGAGCAAGTATCGAGAGCAAATGTTTAGACTGCTAATGGCTAGCAAAAAAGATGATCCGGGTATAATAACGAAGTTAAAAGAACAGCACTCCAAGGTAATCCATTTTATAAATATAATTTGAAATGAAAAAGAAGCATAATTGGTTAACTTGTGTTGAGATTTCTTTTTAATCACAGGTATATAACATATCAAATATTTCATCTTTCTGATATTTTCTGCTTTTCCTTATTTTTGTCATTTCTTATTACATATTTTGTTTGATTTACTTTCTTAACTCCTATTGTTCTCAGTAGCTTTAACATATTTTCAAAAATAAACTTTATTTGGGAAGTAAAGGTAGGTATATTAAAAAATATTTTTATAAGGTTATCTGCTTTTAAGAAATATTTCTTCTAATTTGTGTATTGACATTTGTTGCAAAAACAAAAATTGAAATGCTGAAAAACATTTTCAGAAATCTGAAACCAGCTAAAGGTAGATCTGTTTTTCTTAAGACTGTTTTCTGAATGAGGCTAATTAATCCAGACTGTAAATTATACTGATCGTGATGGAAAAACCATGGTGGGGGTGGTGCAAGGAGGAAAAGAACCAACATATTAAGATTTGACCCCACCCCCACTCCCCAATCACATATCACTTAACACCATTTTTAGAGACAGAGATAAACTGGTTAGAAATTGTTTTTTTCCTCCTCTGTTCATTTCACTTATTGACATCCCTGTGTCTGTTTCCTTTGTGTATGTCCCTTTGTTTATTAGCAACTGCTATGAAGACAAGTAGAATAATTCTTTCCTATTTACATTTTAAGCTGAATTTTAACTGCTGCTGTGAATAAAAATATTAGAGTATTGTGATTTCTAGTTATACCTGTATTGGATAATGATGACCTAACTTAATAATAGTTAGCTCATCATTATCTGATAATTATTAGTTAAAACTAACATTATGTAAGAAATACTGTTTTAAGACATGCATTTATCTTTCTCAATAACTGAAACACATTTTAGAGTCCTTAAAATAATTCTCCCATATTGGTGCTTACAGGTATTTTTAAATTATAAATTATTCTATTAAAATTAATACCTAGTAAATAGATATTTGTGTGACAAGTTTTCATATTAAGAGAATTAGTAATAGATACTCTTGTGTCAATTTTATAATAAATTAATAAATATGGGTTTAATGTTATCTAATTAAACTATTCATTTTCTAACCAAAAGGAAGAACCTTGGATGTTTAAGTGGCAATCTTTTGAATATAGATTTATGTATCTTTAATGAGATCATTATAAAAACAAAAATTTAGATATATAACTTGAGTGTTTCTTTTAAAGGTACAAAGATGAATTGACTGAAATTGTTGGTAAAATAAATATAATCTTGAGAAATTGCAAAAGGCCCTTATGTTTAAAACCTAAGAAATTTGTTAAGATCTAAAGAGATCGCTCTACCAAAGAATGTTTAGCATGAGATACTGCAGGTTGCTAGTTTCATCTGGTAGCAGCTATTCCAAAAGCAAATATTTTCTAGAACACATTAGATTTTACCATTCACTAGTGCAGTGTTATTAATTAGGAAAGTTAAACATTTCTTAAGATAACTGTAGACCATCTTTTATTATGTAGATTGAATTCATCTGAGTGCTGATCCTTCCATAAAATGACTGTTCAGTGACTTGTATGTTAATTCCAACTAATACATATTAATGTTTGTGATTTTGATTTTTCCCAAAAAGGAGACACTTCAACTCAATTAAACACTTATTAACACTTGTCCTGGCTTAGTTATTATAATAATAAGATGAATAAATAATAAGTTCCATCACTCTGCCGTTAGAGCTTAGAGTATAAAGGGAAATATAAACAGAATAAATAAGGTAGGATGTGATGAATCCTAAAATAGAGATGATTTAATATGGAAGTACTAGTGGAGCAAGATTAGTTCTCATGAAGATAATCTGGGAAGGTGTCAAGAAAGACAAATTCATCCAAGTCTAGCCTTGAATTAATTATTGGGGTGGAAGGGTCAATAAACAGAAGTGGGTGAGCAGAGAAACTTGTAGGATAAAGGTGCAGAAATAAGAAATTCCAAGATGTGTTTAGGTGTTGATACTCTGATGAGCCTAAACACACAAAAAATTTTATAACGCATTTAGGGGTAATAAGCGCAGTTACACATAACAGCATTTTGGCATAAGAGATCATTTTAAGACCAACTGTAGTACAGAATTTTACCCTCACTTAGAAGTTTTTGAGTATAGACTGGAAAATCAATAAAAAGTTTGAGAACTCATTTTTTCCAAATACTCATTTTTACATTATTTTTGAACAGATGCCTTTTTGGAAATCTTAAAAAAACAAACATTTCAAACAGTTGGCTAACACGCATGAACTAACACTCATTCAGTTTTTAAATTACGGATAATATCCGTATTAACATTATAATGACTCTATACTACAGATTGACATGGTACATCGTAACAGCTCCGAAGGATTCTTCCTTGATGCATCTCGACACATCTTTGAAGCATCTCAACATGGACTGGAGAGGAGGCACTTGGAAGCAAATCAGAATGTACACTAAATAAAACAGTCAACTTTTGGGGTGTGGATGGAAGGGGGGGAGGTCCATTTAAAACATTCTTTGACATTGAATTTTCCTTCCAGTTTAAATCAGCAAATAAATGAAATTGCCTTAAATATATATATACTGTGCTTTTGATAGCCATGCAAAAATATTCAGTGTAGAAACTTTACATGTCATTAATTCTCTGTGTATTGTATCATACACAGCCTGTTAGATAATGGCGGGCTTTAAAGGTTGTTCAAGCCAGATTTTCATTTTGTTGCTGCAGAATTTTGTAAACAGCTACCCTCTTTGTGGACATCAAAGTATTTTCTTGGAAGTCATTTTAATCTGATTTCATAGAAGTTTTGTTCGAACTATTAAAGGAACAGTTTTAACTCAGATTTGTAATAGTTTGTAGTTCTTTAGTTTGAGTTCTCAATAACCTAAAGATGCCTTTGTTTAGGTTTCATACTATATGTATATGTATATGTATATGTTAGTAATATATGCTACATTGTCTTTTTGTTTTAATTATTGTGGCAGGTCTTTATTGAGCAAATTTGAAATAACCCTAAACAAAAGTTAAAAATGAAAGGCATTTCAAAAAAGTTCAAGGATTGTATTACTGACAGTTCAAGGATTATGTTACTGACTCTTCTTGCTTTTCAGTTTTGAAAGTACAGCTCTTGGCCTCTGTGTTCACTAAAAGACCTAGGATACTTCCCTAAGGATTTTATTGTAATAAATGAACCCTCCATGAACTGGGCCTATAAAACTGTTCTGTTTGAAATCTTGGTGGTTTTTTTTTCTCATGATTTAATTAGAATAGACTCTGTCCTGAAAAAATTAATTTTCTTCCATTTTAAAGGCAAAGAATTATTTGCTTCCTGTACAGCCTTTTACCCTTAAAGGACACTAAATGATAAACTGAAGAAAATGTTGGTATTCAGAATTTTTACTCATCATCCTCAGTCTGTTGCTGCAGTTGTCTGTACTTAAAGCTTGTTTTTAAACATTAAGCTCCCTTTCCAGAGGGAGAGATTTTAATCATTTTTTTAAAAAACTATTTCAGAATATGATAGATGTTTGTCTTGATATTATTGTTGCTACCGTAATCTAATCCAGGACTGTCCGATAGCACTTCCTGAAATGATGGAAATGTTCTTTATCTGTGCTGTTCAGCATGGAAGCCACCAGTGCCACATGGCTATTGAGCACTTCAAGTGTCACTAGTGCAACTCAGGGACTGAATTAACTTTTTTAAAAGGTGTTTAATTTTAATTGACATTTACATAGCATCATATTGGGTAGTACAGATTAGTCCTTTTGTTTTGGCTTTCTGCATACTAGCATTGTATAGGTATCCCCATTAAAATAATTTAAGGACCTGCATTTTTGTTGTTACAATGTACTAAATGTGTGGTTTGCTAAAGATACTATTTGTTCTCCATATTTTTCCACAGTTTACTAGTTTTGTAAGTTTGGGAGGTCCTTTCAAAATCCTTTTTACAAATCAGATATATACAATTTAAGAGACAAGGTTATTGGGGGAGATTTTAGCTTTTGAGTTTGACCTTAATAAAAATCACCCTCAACTGCCAGTGAACAATGGTCTTAGAAGCTATTTGTTGAAAAAATTATTATTCTCAAGTTTCTGTTGATTTTTAAACCTCATGTCTGTCTCTTTCACTTGACTTTAAGCTCCTTGAAATCAGGGAACATGTCTTGATAGGTTTCCTATTCCCATTGCTTAGCACGGTGCCTGGCATATCACAGGTGTGCAAAAAGTAATAATAGCATGAGATTGGAAGAAATTTGTACTACCTGCTGCACCAAATAAATGTGGCCATTTTATACCTAAGTGATATTTGAACGGTTGGCAAAGAAGGCCATTTAATATTTTAATACTCAAAAGCAGACTTCTGTTCATTTTATTCAATATTTATTATCCATTATGTACCAGACATGGGCAAATATAAACAAGATACAGTTCCTCCTCTCAAGGAAGATTATAATCTGGAAAAGTTTCTAGGTTGGATTGAGATCAATTTTTAGACATGGATAATACAGAAAAGACTTGTGAATCATGAAGATGTTAGGGGTAAAGAGATCAAATATGTCAATTTTTGTCTTCCCCATTACTTTAATTAGTACTATATGTAGGTATAAAAAAGGAAAAGTTGTTGATCATTTGTAGGGTGAGAGGAATGTGAAATATGAGTACACTTCTTCTTGCTAGTGGGTTTAGTTATATTGTGGTGTTTATCCTTACTTGTAGCCCTGACAGAACTCTGATTTCAAAAGCACATTCATGGTCAGTCAACTTTCTGGTAAAACTGGTTTATAAAGTACCTTCATGTTAAATGGCAATGTAAGAATATTACATCCATATTAAGTGGCAAGGCAGACTTTTTAAAAAGGAGAGGATCCAAAAATAAAACTAAAGTATTTCACTGATTTGCAACTCCCATCTCTTTTTTTCAGGAATTACAAGCACATGTTGATCAGATAACAGAAATGGCAGCAGTAATGAGGAAAGCTATTGAAATTGATGAGCAACAGGGTTGCAAGGAACAGGAGCGAATATTTCAACTTGAAGTAAGTTTTAAATTGCAAGTGTGGGTAAAAACTGTCCATATAAAGATTTATGCCAGAAAATACATCCCATTTAAAAATATATGTATACACTTCTCTGGAAAACTGGTAATGTTCTGTTTCTTAACCTGGATACTGGTTATATGGGTATATAATGCAAGACCATTTCCATAGTAATAGAAGAGTCCAGGATCAGTAAAGCAGTATTTGAGAACATTGATGTTTTGATCCTGTGTTGCCTCCTGTTACTGGGTGAATATGCTTTTTAATTTAGTAATTTAAAAAATTTCTTCATTCTGTTGGAAATGATGATGATGCAGGAAATTTTTCTAAACCACGGATATTCTTAGGGCACTTGTATTTTTCTGAGGAATATAAAAGCTTTTCCGTCCTTTATTTGTGGCAGCAAAAGCATCAGTCATTGTTGAATAATTCAGATCAGTAGAATGGACTTTTATACTTTATTCATTTTTTAAAGATTTTATTTATTTGACAGAGAGGGAATACAAGCAGGGGGGATGGGAGAGGGAGAAGTAAGCTTCCCGCCAAGCAGGGAGTCCAACGTGGGGCTCGATCCCAGGACTCTGGGATTATGACCTGCGCTGGCGGCAAACGCCCAACAACTAAGCCAGCCAGGTGCCCCAACTTTTATGTTTTAAAAGCTTCATTTTGAAATCATAGTGGAGATGCTTTTGGTTATGGAGGGCCTAAAGTGATTTCTGTCTCTAAGCATTTTTAAACAGGGTTAAGCAAACTTTTTCAGTAAAGGACCAGATAGGAAATATTTTAGGTTTTGCAAACCAAACATTCTGTTGCAACTACTCAGCTCTGCCATTGTAACACAAAGCAGCAATATACAGAAAAAAGACTGAGTTTACCTATGTTCCTGTAAAGTTTAATTTAAAAACAACAGACCTCAAGCCAGGCTGTATGTAGTTTGCTGATCCCTGCTTTGTACCAGTCAAATTTAGAAAGACTGAAGACAAAGTGGTTGAGAATTACAAATGTTATTTTTAAATGTCTGCTAATTTCTTACAGTAACTAATCTGGGGGGGAGGTGGTAGTTACTAGTGCTAGATCTGGTCACTTGCCTTCTTGAAAAATACCACAATTCACTCAGCCAACCCTGCTGCTTTCAAATTAGAGGGAAGAAAACAAACCAGACCAGATGGCTTGTCCTTCATTCCATGCTTTCATGGAAAGGAATAAAAGGACTAAAGTACTAAGAGGTCCTAGTCCCAGGGTATTATTCACAGGCTTTGTTGAGTTTATAGAAATATAAACCTAGATATTATTTTCTTCATCTATACTGTGAGTGTAAAATAAGGCAATTTCTCAGGTTCCATCTATATTCAGAGCTGCATAAATAAGAAGGCTTTGCCCTGCTGGAAAACACTGAGCACAGTTCCTGTATCTTTAAAGTTTTCTTTGGATTCAAGTTGTCAACTTCAACTGCATATATCATTTTGTGTATGCCAATGATAGAACCTTCTGTCACACCTTCATATGTTTGGCTTAAGATATGTTTGTATTCTCGGGGCTGTCCTGCTGACTGCATCTTTGTTTTTTTACCCTCTTTTAGCAAGAAAACAAAGGCTTGAGAGAGATCCTTCAAATAACTCGAGAATCATTTCTGAACCTTAGGAAGGATGATATGTCTGAAAGTTCATCTTTGTCAGCATTAGTGACCAATAGTGACCTGAGTCTGAGGAAAAGCTGAAGAGCCTATAAGTGTGTGAGCTTCTTACAAGGCTCTAAATGGTCACCGGGACTGGTCTACTAAAGTGAATGAATTAACAGAAAAATCTGTCTCAAGCTACCCTTTGCTTTATTTTTTTTCTATAGTATGTACAGTGCACTGGCAATGATATTCTTGAGATAGCAACAAAAAAATGCATAGTTAATGGTCATAGACTTTATTCCAAAATAAAATTTAAAATAGAAACTTTGTTAACTGATGAACAAACTAAAGATTTTCTGAGTGCTAAAGTGTCAAGAGCTTCCAGCAGTGCAGGTGGCATTCTGGATGACACTTGGATAAACGTGACTATCCCCAGTAAGTGTTTGGGAGTTCATGAAATTATTCTCATTTTGCCACAGTTTTATGAAGAAAGATTGTCATACAAATTTTATTTCTCCTTGTATGGCGTCAGAGTTATCAGAGAGCTTTACGTACCATGAGACTTCAGCTTTAATGATTGCCTGTCTACCTTCCCATAAATGTAAATTTTTGTCAAAGAAAATTCAGTTAGCAAGGCCATAGGAATGTTTTATATGCACCATAAACAAGAGGTGATTTAATTTTAGCTAACTTGCCATAGTTAAAATAGCTAACAATTGTCCGTAAGTTGCTTAAGTATATGAAATATTTCAGGAATGAAAGAGAAAGAATATTACTTTCTAAGAAAGAAGATCTTAGACATATTAGTAGGTTAAACTACTCCTTTGAAAGATTTAAGTTTTGGTTCTAAATCAATAATGAAGATGAGATTTTTCTCTTCTCTGGTTGATCTTTAAGGATGTTATGTAGCTCTTAGCTGAAAGAGTTGAAATGTTTGATACAGCATAGGTAAGGTAATTTCAGAGTAAATTAAGAATTGTTCTGCCTCACTGAACCCTTTTTTAAAAGTATTTTTTTTTAAGTATTCTTAAGATACAGAAAGTAAGTTAAAATTTCGAAAAAAAAATTGTTTTCTGGGTCTATTCTTAAGCTTTATCTGGTCCTCATAACCTGTAAGATTTTTCTTATAACCTCTCAGTCAAAGGGGGGTGGGGGGAAGGAAGTCTATGGATTTATAAGTATTTGTTTTATTTTTTACAAAATATATATCCAGTACGTAAATTTTTAAAAGCCACTAGACATAAATGTACTTTAACATCAGTTGAAATCGAAATTTTTCTTATTTTGTGATTATAGAATAAAAGGATAAAAGAAAAATGTCACATATGATTAAATATATTCATTTATATTAAAATTAGCACAATAGGAAATTCCACTTTTGGGTATATAATTTGTTAAAGAAATATTCACATGGTAATTTTTGTGTATAATTTCATATATTGATAAAATTGAAAACTACTTTTCACCTTGGAATTTTCTATCCTAAGTTTGGGGTGAGTAGGGTCAAAGGGGCTGACTGAAAAGGGCTAATGGCCCAAACACTGAACAGATTCTCAGAGGCCTTAATTGATACTTTATAAATGACAGTTTTCATTTTAAACTTTTCTATTGGTTTTGGGGTAAGTATCTCTTAATTTGGTGACACATTCATTCATAGTCTTTATCCCAAGTCAGAATTAAAGAAAATAAGCTACACAGTTGAGATTAAGTCTGAGGCAATTCATTGAGGCAGCTCTGTTACAAAATGTTACTTGATAGTTATTTTTATAAATAATTTATTCTTGGTCCTCTTACTTGGATATAATTTTAAGATCTTGGTGTTTAAAGACATTTACTTCACTATATAGCAACAGTTTTTCATCCCTATTTTTTTTTTTTAAAGTAAAACCTTAAATTTATGTCTGAGAGTGTGTACTGCAAAGGAGCCATTTTATCAATAAAGACAAACGGTTGAAATTGATATGGTCTCCAAGTTAATTTGAGAACAATGCTTACATTTATCCTTATAAACAGGTTTTTTTTATGGCATCTCATCTCTTACCACAAAACTAGTACTTAGCAACAACTTACATCTGTATTTCTTAGGAATTGGCCAGCAACTTATTCCTTATCCTGCAAGCCTTTTTATTGTATGTGGTGGGTTTAAGAGTGTCCCCTCAAAGGTATGCCCAGTCCGGTTCTGATCTCCTGTACCTGTGAATGTGACCAGAATTTAAGTTTTTGCAAATTTAAGGATCTTGGGATAAAATCATCCTGGATTTAGGATGGGCCCTATATCCAATGACTGGTGTCCTTATAAGAGACAAAGATATTTCAAACAGACGCATGAGGAGAAAGCCATGTGAAGACAGGCGGGGAGTTATGCAAGCATTGGGGCCACACCGTGCCACCAGAAACCAGGAGAAAGGTATGGAATGCACTGTCCCTCAGAGCCTCCAGAAGGGGCCAGCCCTGCTTGATTTCGGACTTCTGGCCTTCTTAATTTTTTAGAATTGTGAGCCACCCCATATGGTGATTTGTTACAGCAACCCTAAAAAACAATATCTATTTATCATCTATCCACTACAATTCTAAAAAACCAATTATATACAACCTACAGATGAAGTATTATCTGCTCAAATTGATCTCCTTTATATAAGAGTGACTTACAAAGTATTTTATTTCTAAATTGCCTCAGTGATTGGAAGATCATATCATTAACTCAGTTTTGGTGATCTCCACCTTTTCCGACGGTCAGAGTAAAATAGGAGTCAGTTTTTAGTTAAACAGCAATGAAGAATAATTTCTAATTGGAATTGGAAGGGGCTTTCTTTTTACCTCTGTGGCTGCTTCTGTTCTTTCTTCTGACTTAAAATTAGAGAGCCCAAGGGCTCAGTCCTTATTTCTACTCTATTCCTACTCACTTCCTTGGTGATCTCATCCCATCTCATGACTTTAAATACCACCTGTAATGCTGATGACTCCCAGCTTTACAGCTCTCATTAAACCTCTCATTAATTCCAGACTCCTTCAAGTGTAACTATCAAAGAGAGATCTCAGACAACATGCTCAAAGCAGTCTCACTGTCCAGCCATCTCAGCTTATGATAACTCCATCTTTTCAGCCGAAAACCTTGGTGGCATCTTCGTCTCTACTTCTTGTTCTGTTTTACACCCAATTCATTGGCAAATCCTATTGACCCACCCTTCTAAATATATCCGTATCCTACCATTTCTCACCATCTCCACTGCCTCCCCTGGCTAACAAACACTATGATAGGTGCTAGAGCGAACAAATGAGATTCAACCTGAATATCATACAGTAGGGAAACAGTTTATGTCAGTTGTTAATTTACAATCAACATCTACCCAATGCAGTTTATTATATACCACGGCTTAAAGATTCTAGCAACAGGAACAAAAACATGTACCTAAATTTGCATAACAGAAACCTTAATACTAAATTGCACATACAACTACGTAAAAATCAAAGGCATAGGGAGAAATGTCCAGAAGCAAATAACATCAGTATACTTCTAATTCCATTGTTTTACATACACTAGACACTTAGCTACAAAAAACTTTGTTGCCTGAAAACCAAACTGTCTTTGTATAGATGTCATAATTTATACAACTATTTCTCCTAATGATAGAAATTCAGACTGTATTCAATTTTTGTTAACATAAAACAATGCTTCCCTAAACATCTATGTACATATTTTATGTACTGTACCTATTTCCGGTGTATAAATTCTCAAGAGTTTGTTATGTTCCTTTTTGTTACAATTTATCTTTTACATAAAAGAAAAATAAATGTATACGGTTAAAAAGCCAGCATACAGGAAATATTACAGTTCAAAGTCAGTCTCTTACAACCCATGTCTTCCCAGAGGTAATTACAAGTTTCTTGTGAATCAGAAAAACTTAATCTATTAAGTGCTGTTAAACATACACACACACACACCCACACACACAATTGGAATCTCAACTACACCTTGGTTCCTCAGTTGTTTTTTTTTTTTCAGTTAATGATAACCCTTGCAAGTTTTTTTTTGCCATATAAGGAATAAAGGATTAAACTCACATAAAAGGCAAAGTGTAAACCCGTGGCTTTGGAATAACTAAAGCTGTCAGAAAATTCACTATGTTGAAATCAGTACAGTAGGTAGAACTAGACCCTTATCTTGAAGCACAGGATATACACTTTTTGGGTGTCAGACATTGCTAGGAAAGCTACATTTTCAGCTTTCTATAAAACAAAGAGGAAAGCTGGTTAGAATCTGGGTTCCAAGAGCTTGTCACTGCATAACCCCAAGCCTCAGCAAATTGCTTTTGTCTGTACAGACAGTTCAGGACGAATAGGGCTAGCCCTTGGCTACTTTAAAATGCCAAGGATGTATCAGCTTCATCTTCGATTTCAGCACCACTCAGTGGTCAAATACTCAGTGCTCCCAAATCAATGGTTGATGTGAGATCAAGTGAATGAATACCTCAAATGTTAAATAACTTCTAGAATATGTTCATTTTAAGACCTATCTCTAACTAACTGAATTTAAATAAAAATCTTTATAATAATTTTATTCCTGGTCATGCAGACTCTAGACCTATAGAATATAAGAGGTTAAAAACATCATTCAGGAGAAAATTCAGTAGAGAATCACCGGTATATATCACTGAAGGAATTCAGGAGGGAGAGTTGGTTTGGAAGAAGAATAGTTCTACTTGTGAAATGGAAGACTAGCCTGTGTTGAAAAACTTTCAGGCTTTTTTTTTTTTTTAAGATTTTTATTTGAGAGGAAGAGAGAGATAGTATGAGCATGGGGAGGGGCAAAGGGAGAAACCGACTCCCCACTGAGTAGGGAAGCCAGACACGACTCAGGGCTCCATCCGAGGACCCCTGAGATCATGACGTGAGCCAAAGACAGATGCTTAACTGGCTGAGCCACCCAGGTTCCCCAAAACCTTCAGGCATTAATAAGCAAGATGAGAGTTTTTTGTTTTTGTTTTTGTTTTTTTCCAGAGAAAAGCCTCTAATTCTGTCCATGAAAATAGTCCTCTAGACCCTAGGCCCAGCCCTAGCAATACATATATTCAGTGTTAAGCAATTTGGATATATGGATGGTCTCCTGCTCTAAATACAGCAGCTGGTTTATTTTAGAAAGGTGTTGGAGCTCCTAGATGGCTCAGTTGGTTAACTGTCTAACTCTTGGTTTTGACTCAGGTCATCTCAGGGTTGTGAGATAGAGCCCTGCACTCGGCACTCAGTGCGCAGTCTGCTTGGGATTCTCTCCTTCCTCTGTCCTTTCCCCCTGCTCATGAGCTTGCTCATGTCATTGTGCGACTCTCTAAAATTTTTTTAAAAAGGTGTTGACTGGAAAACTGGGGAGCAAAGGCACACTTAATGTGTCTCAGCTACTTCATCCATCTGCATCACTTTCTAATCTTCCACCCCCTTCCTTAAAGCTCCCAGGCAGGCATCCATGCCCTGCCCAGTGCACTCACCACAAGTTCAGGCAGGCCAGATAACACACAAGCCAGTCTGGACAATAGAGAACCCATTAGCAGGAGGAGCCATGAACCTCAGGTGAACAACCCTTCTAGCCCCTAAGAACTACAAAGAAATAAAGGTTGGTATGGCCATCCTTTAACCTCCTTCCAAAGGAAGGAATTCATCCTGGGGGCAACGGAGTAGGTATATTATACTTATATAGAGGTATATTAAGAGGACTCTGGAACAGAAGGAAAGAATTTGACGACCACAGCTTGCAGATCACTCAAGTGTTCTGACCCACCTGCCAGGAAACACCTGCTAAATTCTAGGGTCTTGGGAGGAAAAGAAAAAGGTAAACAAACAGACAAGGTGTGCTCTGTGCAGTTTTATAGTATAGATAAAATTTAACAAGGAAGACAGACAATAAAAACAGAACCACCATACAATCTAGTAATCTCACTTCTGGGTATATAGCCAAAGGAAATGAAAAGCAAGGTCTTATAAAAATGGCTAATTCCCATGTTTACTGCAGCATTATTCACAATAACCAAAACAGGGAAACATCCTAAGCGTCCATCAATGGATGAGCAGATAAAGATGTGGGGGGTTTTGTGTGTATTAATAATTAAATATTGTTCAGCCATGAAAAAGAAATCCTGCCATTTCCAAAAACATGGATGGACCTTGAGAGAACTATGCCAAGTGAGAGAAGCCAGAGAAAGACAAACACTAGATGATACCACTTCTGCGTGGAATCTCAAAAACCCCAAAATGGTGGTGACCAGCAGCTAAAGGTGGGAGAATTGGGGAAATGTTATTTAAGGAAGGAATGAACTCAGAATTAATAGACAAA